CTGAGCCGTGACGTCAGCTCGTGGCTTTTGAATACACCCGCGGTTCATTTGCATAAAAGTCTGGGGCAGCCAATCGCAGGGTGGCGTGAGTGAAGGCGTTCGTGTTGGGGGCGGGGTCAGGAGGAAAACATTTGTACGGCGTTTTGAAGGTGTTTTAATGTCAAAACACGAAGCGAATTTGGATTGTGAAGCAGTATGTTTGTGCAGCTGTGCGTTTATACCTTTTGTTGAGATGATTATAAAGTACATCTTAAATAAAGCTAGTACTTTAAAAATCCACCTGGAACATGCAGGGGCAGATTTAGTGATTTTGGGGCCCTAAGCAATTCCAGCCATAGGGCCCAAGTGCTGAAATGCACCCGATCTACTTTTAATTATTTTTTATTTAGCTATAATGTTATAAATATAGCTATAAATCTTCTTTTTGACATTTTAAATTAAGGCAATCTCTACATTTTAAATGATTAGTTTAGTAACTAAAAATAATACATATATCTTTTAAATAAATATGACTGCTGGATTGCTCTATGATGGATATTTTAGTTTGTATTATTATTACTTAAAATTACATTATTGTAATAATATTGTGTTTTATTTTATATTAAATAAGCTTTAATTACGTTATAATTGTATTTGTTTAATTCTTACCATACAAAATATGGTAAAAAACAACAACAATGTTATATATAGTTTATAGGCATAATTTGTACTCCTAGACATTTATTGGGGGCCTCCAGATTTCCTGGGGCCCTAAGTGGCTGCTTACTTCACGTATTGGTTAAATCCACCCCTGGGAATAATACAATACCTAAAATACAGGCCTACCTGTACACATTGCTCACCAAACCAACACATTTTGCTGGTTTTATTGGTTGCTTTTGAAATGTTACAAGTTTAATATATATGTAACACGTGAAAGCTTTTTAGATAATACATTTTAAGCCTCTAAAAAGCTTTAGTTGGAAACATTTGTACTATTAAAATGTATTTCAATATTACATTTTATATATATTCTATGATACTTAATACTATAGCACTTTGTAATATTTATATATTTTATTTTAATATATATTCAGCATTGCTTTATTTCTATAGAACTGTATAATATCATGACACACTGAACTATTATTCATTGATCAAACTATCAAGCAGTACTTTATTTAATTAAAAATGTATCTTTAATGTTTAATAGTATTTGTTTTATTTTTAAAGTAACATATTTTAAGATTAAAACATAGTCAATAATAAAACATTTTGATTAATAGCTCAACTCAGAAATATTTGTTTTGACCAATGTAAATTTTTAAGCTTACTCACACAGGCCAATGCATGCATATTAAACAGAAACTCAATAATCACTTGTACTTTCATGGGATTAAATATATTGTTTAATGCAAATAATTAGTTTTTCTTTGGCTCAAGTGATCAAATTTAGATGTAAACCATTACCCTATTTTTTTAATTGGATGAATGAACATTCTATGGTAATTTTTTTTAATAAGGCTTCTTGTTTAGAACATAAAGAAAATTTTAATTAATTGACTTTAACTTAAACAAGACAAATATGCTTTTGTACCAGGTTATATAAAACTGTTCTCATGAACATAAAAAAATATTGCATAGGGCAAATTATGTATTTTTCATTGGTTCAAGTAATAAAATTTAGATGTCAACCATTACCCTATTTTCTTTTAAATTGGATGAATGAAAGCTTTAATGTTTGCAAACAATTTCTATGGACTTAATTTACACAAACAAATTAAATTGAACATTACTAAATTTAATTAGTATGTTACTGCAATGTAAATTAAATATAAATAATTTTCTTTTTTTTTTCTTTTTTTAACGTTGTTTTGTTTTTGTTTTTAAAGATGAACCTAATTTTTGATCATATCTACATGAACAGCATCATTGGTTTCATCAGCAGCAGCATTTATTGTCATACATGTCTATATCATTCTATATTCTTGTCCATGGTCCTGAAATGATTTTAAACCGTATTAATTAACTATACTGAATGTGTGTGAAATAACTTGCTTTTTTCAGTACGCATATCTCAGATGTCTTACTTTAACAGTGAACCCAATTTCACCATATCTACATTATTAGCATCATGCAGACATTAAATAGATTGCCAGTTAAATGTATCGCATTGTTGCTGTCCATGGTCCTGAAATCAATCACTCGCTATTAATACCATCACCGAGATATGTGTTGCTGTCCGTGGTGCTGAAATTAAACGGAACTTAAAAAGGAAAAAAAAGCTTGATCTACACTTTCAGTTTCTGCATTACAAATGTCTAAACTTAAAGACAGACCCCACTCTCAATTATATCTACACAAGCAGCGTCGCTCATATGTTAAATAATAATAATAATTCTAGTTCTACATTTTTATGATGCAGTTAAAGCTCTACAACACATACAAACAAAGAATGCAGCCTAAGCCAAAATGACAAAACTGCATTAAAAAAATCTAACTAAAAATAATCAATATCAATATCTAATCAATATCTATTTTTAAAAAGCATAAACGAAACGGGTAATAGTCTGTTAAAAGTTAAATCCCTTCACATACTGTAAAGGGCACTGATCAATGCACAGTTGCTGTCCGTGGTGCTGAAATGCTGTTTACTAGTTTTTATATCTATTATTCAACAGCGCTACTGAAAAAAAATAGTAGCATGATAATTTTAAGTGTGTTTATTGTGATCTCATTATGATTTTTTTAGTAAATTTATTTTTTATTTACATCTCCATCTAAAATTTAAAAAATAAGAAAATTGAATAGTATGACTCAGCTCCACTAAACATAAACAACAACATAAGCACTTAATAGTGTTCCTAAATATTGACAATGACGGCAAAAAAATCTTTTTGAGTTAATAATGATTTTTAGTTTTTGTTGTAAAATTGCCTATTTAATCAGCACTACTGATTAAAGACAACACCGTGCGCACTTACTAGATATTCTAGATATTGAAAATAAATACATTCATTCATTCATTTTCTCATATTTTCTTTTCAGCTTAATCCCTTTATTAATCAGGGGTCCTCTCAGCGGAATGAGCCGCCAATTTATCCAGCATATGTTTTACGCAGCGGATGCCCTTCCAGCTGCAACCCATCTCTGCGAAACACCCATACACATTCATTTACACTCATACACTACAGATAATTTAGCTTACCCAATTCACCTGTACTGCATGTCTTTGGACTGTGGGGGAAACCGGAGCACCCGGAGGAATCCGACGCAAACGCAGGGAGAACATGCAAACTCCACACAGAAACGCCAACTGACACGGTCGAGGCTCTAACCAGCAACCTTCTTGCTGTGAGGTGACAGCACTACCTAAATATCTGGAGCTGTCGGCGATTCAATTCATGCCGTGTGAAATGAGTTTTGACTGAAAATAACATCAGCGATTGACTACAGCCAATGAGAGAGCGGCATTCACTTGAGTGTGCGTGTGTGTAGCGTGTTGTTAGGACAGAGGGTTACAGTGTATCCTACTCACCTAATGCTTACATTTATAATATTTATATTATTTGCTAATTATTAACTAACTCATGTGGAACTCTGAATCTGCGTCTCATTTCAGAGTCTGCTACTGTCCACCAGAGGTCACACTTCGGTCACGGATGCATGCTTTGAGAGCCTTCCTGACTTAATGATGGAAATACACTGTTTTCCACCATCTGGCAACCCGGATGCTAAAATATAATTGGCTAAACTGAGCATTGGGTGGGTTAAATGACCAAAACAAAGGCAGCCGTTCTGCCACATAACACACATGTTCAAAGCAGAATGTCTGACTTCAGCATTGTTTTTCAGAATGTTCACTCAGCATGTTTCTGAATATCTGCACACACATATTATAGTGTTTCATGCTTTAGAAGAGTCAAAAACCTACATACAGCAAGGTTAATCAGCACTACTAAATAAAAACAGTAGATATTTAAAAAGGAGGCAATAGAAGATAATTAGGATTGTTTCATGTTCACATTCTCATGTTCAGCCACTTGTCTGCTTGCTGTTCAACAGATGACTTTTCCATCTTTAATCTGTTGCTTTCTTAATGATTATTACATTTCATGTTTGTTCCTTTCAGCACTGGATCACCTCGGGGAGTGAAAACCTGCATCCACGTCATTTTAAAGCAGATCCTGCTGTGTTTTACGAATCTTAATGCACTGCTCCCCTTGTCAACAGCATCAGAAGCGTTCATTTGCATGAAGGCATCGATAATTTGCCGTTTTATTGTGATTTCAGTGGCGCAGCTGTGATCATTACACTGAGACTGTCTTCAGGGTTTCTTCAACCTGATGTAAAGACACACACCTGTACGAGACACTGTGAAAGCACAGACCTGCTGAGAGACGGGATTAAAGATATATCTGCAGATTAACTTCACACCGCGCCGCTGATTTCAGTCGGATTGTCTTCATTTCACTGCGAAGAGAAAAGAAATCAGACGCGTTTGTTCAGATAATGATGATACTGTGTGATTTATCGCCATCAGATGACATACTGTAGTAATGATCACAGCATCAAGAGATTGGAGAGCAACTGCTGATAGGACAGAAGTGTGTGGTGGTGGTGGTGGGGGTGGGGGGGGTCACAATGTTTATGAAAGGTGGGGGGGGGTGAAATGTTTGTGAAAGGCGAGGGGGGAGCAAAATGCTTATGAAAAGTCGGGGGGCAGCAAAATATTTTTGTAAAGGGGGGCAAAATATTTATGAAAAGTGGGGGGGAAAGAAATGTTTATGAAAGGTGTGGGGCGCGATGTTTATGAAAAGTGGGGGGAAGTGAAATGTTTATGAAAGGTGAGGGGGGAGCAAAATATTTATGAAAAGAGGGGGAGCGAAATGTTTATGAAGGAGAGGGGGGGGTGAAATGTTTATGAAAAGTGGGGGGAGCAAAATATTTATGGAAAGTGGGGGGGGGGGGGGCGAAATGTTTATGAAGGGGGGGTGAAATGTTTATGAAAAGGAGGGAGC